ATGTATTCATAAAAATTTAATAAATAAACATTTTTTTAAAATCTAAAATCAATTGCATACAAGTTTCAAATCCCACATCCGCAGCATACAGACTGGGCAAATTTCCATAGGCTATTTAACTTCTAAAGGCCTCTCTTCCAAATTGTGAAATTAAAATAAGCTGAAACATATTACTTAGAAGAGTCACATGCTTCTGGTCAGCACTGAGTATATTTCAACCGTTTAGATGAGATTTCATTTTCTCACTGTGAATTCCTACCTCAGTAGCTAATTAGGGCATAGAAAAGAAAGCTGCCTCAAACCACGCAGCTGCTTTCTGCTGGCTGAGGCATCTGCCTCTGCTCTCCCAGTACCAGTCTTGGGAAAGCGAGCTGGCAGGAAAGCCACTGCTTTAGTCTGAGGATGGCGGGAACAGCTGAATCAGAGAAAGAGGCCTGCAGGGCCAGTGACCCACAACCACAACTCGGAGAGGCCCTTAGCTCAGCACTGTTATTTCTAAAATACGGAAGAAAAAAAAAATGAAACACAACCACATCAGATTATTTTTCTCTCTCATTGATTTTGACTAGAGAAAAATCATTTTATCCTTAAGTAGCTTATGATAGTTTAAGGTAAATTATTTCATTTAAAAAAACTTTAGCATCCACAACATCTACATTCACAAGTGAACATTTGTGAGGTTCATAGGAGAGAAGTAGCCACAACAGCAATAAGAGCAGCAGTAAGAGATCATCCAGTTTGCGGGTTCTCTATCTGGAAGGCCATGCAAGCTTCCACATCAGTATTCTGAATCCAAGTTGACCTCTCTAGGATTTTGATTACACTTTTAAAAAGAAATGCTAGGCAAGAAAAATCAAGCAAGCCTAAACAAAGAATAGAGCTTTGGTGCACGACAAAAGAAAACACATTAAAATTCAGTAGTAGACAAAAGAGAAGAAGTAAGTTAGAAGGATAGAGAAGCTATAAAAGTTTTGCAGATCTGCTGAGAAATGAACAGTCTTCATTATATTCTTTAAATCCTTAAAATGTACCATATGATTTCTTCAGACATAGCAAAATTGTGAGGAGCTGTGTAGAACATCACAGAGGTCATAACAAGGCCACGCAGCAGAGGTGGTGGCTGAAAGCTTAGCAGACACAACCACCATGAGGAAGGAAAACTCAGAATGGAAGCTGACACATGGGTAGAAATCAAACAAGCATGATGAGTAAAAGCAGGAACAGGAAATTAGAGTTGCCTAGGGGAGGTTCCTAGCCCACAGAGAAGCATCCTTGTTTTCATATTCCTCTGAAGGAATCTGAATTAAAGCCAGCTTCCTTTAGGAGTTGTCAAGACCAAAGGGAGGACAGGGTGGAATGAGCACACTTCTGGGTTGGGGATTATTTGTTTTCAATGCTTTGTAGCTTTGGTGATAAGGGAGTGGAAAGAGGGAAACAGAAAAGGGAGTTGCAACTAATGAATCACTAAGAGTGCTGTCACTCTGAAACATTAACCACAAAGGCTCCTATTCAGTAAGTGATTCTTATGAAAGGGATGCCCTACCTAGCTAGAAAATACCTAGAATTAAGGGCAATGTACAAGCTTAAGGATGTCAGAGGCCTCATAAGGCTTTGGAAGTAGCCTACGTGAATTATACTGTATAGACCTTATTGCTATATTATCTGTTGATATGCAATATCTACTCTGTGGTAGAGTCTAGATAGATAGATAGATAGATAGATAGATAGATAGATAGATAGATAGATAGACAGGTTTCTGACTCTAAAAACTTTTATTAAAGAGATAAAGAGATGGCACTCTCTAATAACTGGTACCATTAGGGACAATCTTAGCCCTTTAGTTGGAGTAAAGTTAATCAAAAGAATGGTGGTGGAGACAGAGACAGAAAGACAGAGAGAAAACCAAAGAAAATAATGAAGTTGTACTATTGCTGCTGATTTGCTTTAGTATTGAGTTTAGCAATTATTCTAAATACAGAAGAAAGCAGAGTCCTGATTCATAGACGCATGTAGCTTTGGAGGCTGAGTGGCTGTCTTCACATGTCATTCCTTGCACCCAGGTATTCTGCTGTAACTTGAGTAGGAAGATGTTTCTATCCTGCGTCTCATAAATATCTCATTCACATTCATATTTAGTCATATCTCCACATGAATGTTCTCATAGTAGTCACTACTCTACAAAAATCTCCATTAAAAATCTAAAAAGCACAAATTTCCCTGTGTAATTTAGCAGTTTATGAGCTATCATCTCCTATAGTCAAGCCTGTAATTAAATCTAACTCTTACATCAGGCCATGGGAGACCATATAGAAACACAGAGCATATGAAAACAACGGGCATAAAGAAAGAAGGCAAGGGCTATATTCAGTGAACTCTCAGGAAGCCTCATGTCAGCAGTTACATCCGTCCTAATTTCTCTAAGACTCTGAACATTTCCCAGGTGATAGCTAACAGGGACACATATTTTGGGGAGTGTGTTTCAATACATGTGCATTAGTATGAATATTAATACTCTCTGTTTTGAGCAGGTTGTGGACAACGCACCATAACATCCACCGGCAACAAAATCGCAGGTGGGAAGAATGCAAAGGAAGGAGAATGGCCCTGGCAAGCAAGTCTGCAGCAGGACAGTGTCCACTGATGTGGAGCCACTCTGATTAGTAACAACTGGCTTATCACTGCCACTCACTGTTTCATAAAGTAGGTTCTAATCAGCCCAGAGGAAGGTCTCAGACTCACTCAAGTCCCTAAAACTCTGAGAATACCTTTCAACAGTATAGGCATAGAACTGTGCCCCCACTGCTCCCTGAGCTGAAGTACAGCCTCTGAGTCACCCCATGACTTCTCAATGCAAAGATGCACCCAGTCTAGAACAAAGATTGTCAGTAGTGGTACCAGTGACATCTTAGACCAGATAAATCTGGAAAGCTGTCCTGTGCAGTGTTAAATTTTTAGCAGTATATCTCCCCTTACACACCTGTAGCATCTCACAGGATGGCAACTGGAATGTCTCTAGACATGTCCAAATGTGCAGGGGCAAAATGACCCCCAACTCAGAAGCACTAGGTTAGAGTCATTCACTTCAAATTCATTTTCAAAACATTAAATTCCAAATTCCAAATTCATCTTCTTTCTTATCATTGCAACAGTTCATTTTATATGTACAGCCCTATTTGAAATCATTTCTTCAAAGGATATATTGTTGCAAAAGACTTTTGTATTATATATGAAAGACTTTTTCATTTTTGTTTAATGATTTTTATCATTAACTCCACTGGTTCTTTGTGGTGCAATTTTTTTCATCCCTTGCAAAACTTCAGTTCTATTTAAATTCACCTGTGTTTATTACATTGCTTTAGTAAAGATTTTGAAAATGTCCCCAGAGCACTATTTTTTGTACTTAATATACCAATCCTTAAATAAAAAATAATGATAAAAGTCAAAATATTTTATTTATAGATTTTAACGGTTAAAAGAGAATATAGACTACTTTCTTAATTTCCATAGATTCACTCTATCCTGTATCCATTTTTTTTGTTGGTTGATTGGCTTTTGAGACAAGGGCTCTCTGTTTAGATCAGGGTGGCCTTGAGCTCACTAGGTACCCCAGGCTGGCCTTGAACTTCCTGTGTTCATCCTAATTCAGCCTCCCAAGTGCTCAAGTTATAGGCCTGAGCCACCGTGCCCTGCTTCCTTATCCACTTTTTATTTAATCTTACTAGTTGTATGTTATCACATTTATCTTTCTAAATCCCTGCTAGTATTTTCTATTCAAAGTAAGAATAAAATGTAGTTTCCATGGGTTATATTTTAAAACAGGATTTGTTAAACTCAAGGTTTAATGATTTTATCATTATTTTTTCTTTTATATATGGTTTTATTTTTGTGTGCTTATGAATACTATGGAAACTAAAATGAACTGAATTATTTTCCAAAGGTAAAAAAATTTATTTCTCTTATGAGTATGGTCTCACATAAACACTGTCTCCTAGAGCGAGAAAATGAACAACTAAATAAGATATGAAATGTTTAATAGAGTCTGTGAACTGGGAAGAACATGTTTAAAAGAAATAAACTAATAGAAGAAGGGCAAAGGAATAAATGGAAAAATATTTTTATGCACAAGACAGTTAAGATAGTCATACAGGGGCCAGGGAAATGGCTCAGTAGAATAAGCGCTTCCCTGGCAAGCGCAAGGGTATAAATTCAATTTCCGGTTCCAAAAAAA